ATTGTTGTACTGTTGATATTTGGCTCTGTTGACGAATGAGTTTGCCGACCAAGGCCATAAAGCCACCCAGAACGAGAAGTGCTAGAGTCAACGCCGTGTTGAAAGAGCAGCCTTGACTGTTAACCAGACAGAGGAAGAGGCCTCAAACTTGTTCTCAGGATCCCTTTATACTCTTAAAAACTATCGAGGGCTCCCAAAAGCTTTAGTTTAAGTAGATTATAGAATGGAGAACCCAGAAATAAACGCATACATATGGTACATTCATTTACCACAAAGAATATACAATGGGAAAATGACAGTCTTTTGTATAAACGGTGTTGGGAAATCGGGATAGATGTAAAAGTATAAAAGAACACCCACACAATAAGATTGGGCCGCCATCTTACACCATATACAAAATTCAACTCAAAATGAATGAAATACTTGAAGGTAAGATCTGAAACCATAGAACTTTTAGAAGAAAACTGGCATTAAACTCCTTGATATTGATCTTGGTGATGATACTTTTGGGCAACAAAGCCAAAAATAAACAAGTCGGACTGCATCAAACTAAAAGCTTTTGCACGGCAAAGGAAACCAACAAAATAAAAAGGCAACCTACTGAATGGGAGGAAATACTTGCAAATCATTTATCTGCTAAGGGGTAATATCCAATATATATAAAGAACTCATACAATTCAATAATAAAAACATAATAATCTAACTTAAAATGGGCCAGAGGATAAATAGACTTTAAAAAAATATATTTTTTATTTATTTTGTTACAGAGAGGAAGGGAGAAGGATAGAGAGTTAGAAACACTGATGACAGAGAAACATCTATCAGTTGCCTCCTGCACACCTCCCACTAGGGATGTGCCCGCAACCAAGGTACATGCCCTTGACTGGAATAGAACCTGGGACCCTTTAGTTCGAAGGCCAACACTCTATCCATTGAACCATGCCAGTCAGGGCTAAATAAACTTTTTTTTTTTTTTTTTTAAAGACATACAAATGGCCAATAGGTATATGAAAAAGTGCTCAATATCATTAATCACCAAGAGAATGCAAATCAAAACCATAATGAGATATGACCTCCAACCTGTTAGAATGGCTATTACCAAAATGACAAGAAATAGCACAGCCAGTGTGGCTCAATGGTTGAACGTCAACCCATGCACCAAGATGTTGCCAGTTCAATTCCCTGATCCCCAGCAGGAGGTAGCCAATTGATGTTTCTCTCTCACTGATTTTTCTCTCTCTCTCTGGCTAGGATTTTATGTTGATTAAAAGTGAGAGTTTACATCTTTGTTTTGTCCTGATCTTAAAGAAAAAGCTTTCATTCTCTTACCAGTGAGTATGACATTAGCTGTGGACTTATTTCATATGGCTTTTATTGTGTTAAATTTTGTTTCCTCTCTATCCACTTTGTTGAGTTTTTATCATGAATGGATATTGAATTTTGTCAAATGCTTTTTCTGCATCTATTGAGATGATCATATGATTTTTATCCCTCACTTTGTTAAGTGGTAAATCATATTGATTTACCACTTAACAAAGTGAGGGATAAAAATGCATTCTTGGAATAAATCCCACTTGATTATGATGTATGATCCTTTTAATGTAATGTTGAATTTGGTTTGCTAATATTTTAAAATGAGGATTTTTGCACCCAGTGATATGTTCATCAGGGATATAGGCCTGTAGTTTTCTTGTAATGTTTAGTAGAATTCAGCAGTGAATTTTGCTTTTCATCTTGATTCAGTCTTGATGGGTTATAAGTTTCTAGGAATTTATCCAGTTCTTGTAGGTTGTCCAATTTATTGGCATATAATTGTTCATGGTGGTTTCTTATGATCCTTTATGGTATCAGTTGTAACATCTCCTCTTTCATTTATGATTTTGAGTCCTCTCTTTGGTTCTTGGTGAATATAGGTAAAGGTTTGTCTATTTTCTTTCTTTTTTTTTTTTTTTAAGTGATTAGTTTCATTGTTATTTTTAAATAGTCATTTCAGTATCTATCTCATTTATTTCTGCTCTGATCCTTATTTCCTTCCTTATACTAATTTGGGCTTAGTTTGTTCTTTTTCTAGTGCCTTGAGGTGTAAAATTAGGTTGTTCACTGGAGATTTTTCTTATTTCTTAATGTCAGCATTTATGTCTATGACCTTCCCTCCTAGAACTGCTTTTGCTGCATCCCATAAGTTTGGGTATATTTCCATTTTCATTAGTCTCCAGGTGTTTTTAAATTTCTCTTTTGATTTCTTCTTGGACTCATTAGTTCAGTAAAATGTTGTTTAATCTTCAGATATATATGAATTTTTATTTTCTTAGAATTGACTTCTAGTTTTATATTATTGTAGTTGCAAAAGATGCTTGACATGATTTCAGTCTTCTTACATTTATTAAGACTTGTTCTGTGACCTAATATATGACATATCCTGAAGAACGTTGCTAGGCGCTTGAGAAAAATGTGTATTCTGTTGCTTTCGAATGGAATGTTCTATATATGTTAAGTTCATCTGATCTACTGTTTCCATATTCATTTTCTCACTGAATGTTCAGCCCATTGATGAAAGGGGGGTATTATAGTTCTGTACTATTTATACAGTTGTCTATTTCTCCCTTTAGGTCTGTTGATATTTGCTTTATTATATATTTAGGTGTCTCTATGTTGAGTGCATAATTATTTACAAAATATTCTCTTGGGTTGACACCTCTATCATTATGTAATGCCCTTCTTGTCTCTCACTGTTCCTCAGGACTCCGGCCAGCCTAGTACACTTCTGCAGTGCTCACTTAACATATCTGGGAGAGGCAGCAAGAATCAAAACCTAATTTAGAATTGCAGAGGTTAAAAAATCTCACCATATAAGCTGTAGGCCTACATACGTACATAATGTCCACAATGGATTCGGCCTCCTTTGCTTCAAGAGGTTGTCCTTCCCAGAGAAAAGAAGGACCTGAAGAAGGAATTAGCATTTTGGAAGTGTATCCTGTGTACTACATACTTATTACAGCACATCGTTTTACCTGTGTTGTTCTGAGAGTAGGTATAATTCCACTTGTTACATCTGAGGAAACAGGCTCAAAAGTGTTTTGCTCGTAATGACAGACTGTCCGGTGACTTTGACCGAATGAATGTAGTCTCTCTACACCTGACTCCTCACCTGTAACATGGAAAGACACCAGCTCCTCTGCAGAAGGTTAAAGGAGACGACATGTGTGTGCCCAGCTCCTGGCTGAGCACAAAGGGTACCAAACTGACCGGCCATTCCAAAGACAGCCTGAGGGAACAGGGCAGACAGGGTGAGTGAGGCTCTTGACTGGTGTCCCCTTTTTAAGCCTGAAAGCAGGAAGGAAGGCGAGTATCAGAGCAAGGCCTGGAGAGGGCTCTGCAGTCACCCGAGCTGAGGTCCAGTTCGGTCCTTGCCTCATGTGATTGCATGGTCACCTATTACTGACCCTTGCTAAGCTTCCCCAACCGGAAACAGGGATAGCAGAAGGGACATACCTGGGGGCGGGGAGGGAAGGGGATCCATGAGGATCAAGTAAGATTTTAGGGCTCCTTCCCCACTTCAGTTCTGGAGGTGCCTTCCAAGTTCTCCTCTTTTGTTTTGTTTTTTAATCAGAACAATTTATTCAAGATTGTCCTAAGTAAATTGTTCTGGCAGATATTATTTTCTTAATTCACCAATTCTATTTCAGAGCAATCCCATTATCCCTTTACTGTCAAAATAAAGTTTTACATTTGATGTTTCTACCTCCTCCCTGTTGACTCTTTCCCCCACTGTAATCTGGTTGATGCATCTCCTACTCTAATGAAATGGAGCTTCCGAGTCCCCCAGTAATCTCTTAATTACCTCTCGCTTTCTACCTGCCAGCATCTCCTGTTGCTTTTCACCTTGGCCATGGCCTAGAAGTCATTCCTTTCTGCAGGAGTTAAAACTAAGATGGAGGGGCCCCTCTATTCGTCTTTTTAAGGCCCTACTCAGTTATCTAAAGGAGCCGAAACTTTCCTCTGTGACCCCTAAAAAGACCCCACACTTGATCTCCTCAGGATCGCCACTGAGCATCCGAGGAGCCTGTTTGGAAGGGAAAGTGGGCCAAATGTCACTGAGTAGTGGTGAGAAGACCCCGGGTCTTGCAGTTTTAACAATTGGTTTTAGCCGAAACCGGTTTGGCTCAATGGATAGAGCGTCAGCTTGGGACTGAAGAGTCCTGGGTTCAATTCCAGTTAAGGGCATGTACCTTGCTTGCGGGCATATCCCCAGTAAGGGGTGTGCAAGAGGCAGCTGATTGATGACTTTCTCTCATCGATGTTTCTCTCTATCTCTCTCCCTTCCTCTCTGTACAAAATCAATAAAATATATTTAAGCCGGGACTGGTTTGGCTCAGTGGATAGAGCGCCGGCCTGGGGACTGAAAGGACCCGGGTTCGATTCCGGTCAAGGGCATGTACCTTGGTTGTGGGTGCATCCCCAGTAGGGGGTGTGCAAGAGGCAGCTGATTGATGAATCTCTCTCATCGATGTTTCTAACTATCCCTCTCTCTTCCTCTCTGTGAAAAATCAATAAAATATATTTTAAAAAGAAATGAATAAAAAATTAAAAAATATATATATATTAAAAAAAACACAATTGGTGTTGGTGGAAACTGTCTTACACACACACACACACACACACACACACACACACAGCTTAGCAGAAGTTGGTGGAAAACAACTGGGAGGAAGTACAGCTGTTCCCTCGGAGGAGCTGGCCTGGGGAAGGCTGGCCGGGGAGAGGGGGTGTTCCCCGGGTGCTGACATGCAGCATTCCTTTCACTTGAGGCAGCCGAGCTGAGGAGCCTTGGGAATAGGACTTTGCTGGGAAGGGCCTCACACAAACAGACCTGCCTCCCCACATCCTCCTCCTCCGAGAGAGAAGCCCCTTCCCATCCTGTGATGCGAACTCCCACACCCGCCGTGGCTCTGATACGGCCCGCCCCGTCTCTGGCCCGACAGACAGCCCGAAGCCAGCGATCTCGTAGGATGTGTTTATATTTACAGTTTAAAGCAATGGCTACATTGGTCATACATATTAGAAACCATAAAAAAAAAGAGTTAAGAACTTAAAATGTACATCATACACTTGTATATATATTCTTTACACGGAGGTAAAAAGGGTTATTATAAAAAAAAAAAAATCCATACAACAGGGTTTTTTAGTTACAGGTCAAGAATGAATGATGCTTCAGGCACTTTAATTTGTTAATGTGAGCAAATAGCCTAGAGGGGCGTTGTCGGGAGAAGCTTCCAAACAGATAATCTTTTGGTTAATGTGTTGTTACCACAGATACAAAAATAAAATCTGAATAGTTTCTCTCCAATGATGGACGTCAGTATGGCAGAGCTGACTGGGGGAATACTGCACACTGTCCAGCTGCAGTGTGGCGATGAGAGAGGGACGTATGTACATACATGTCCCCACGGCTGCCCTGGGCCCTGAACCGCGGCCTTCACAAACCAACAAGCATGGGCGGAGTCAGATTCACTAGGTGGACCAGGTCAGGGGGTGAAGGAAGAAACAGACCAGCGAGGGCAGACGGACAGAAAGCTGCTGGGGTATTCTCACTGAAATAAATAGGGGCACTGGAACCGAGGTCTAACGAAACATACATTAGTGTTGTGCTTTGTAGAGAGGAGACCTTGAGAAAGACCGTGGGGCGTGGGGGTGGTCTCTCCACAACCTTGGGAGGCTGGCTGCGGTTTGGCGAGATGTTCTCCGGGCAGGGAAGCAATGCTCCTTCCTCCCATCACCTGTCTGACAACCCTCTCCGGTCCCTTTCCAGCCCGGAAGGCCCAACCAGGCACTCCAACCAATGAAAACGTCTACTGACTAACTCAGGAGCACAGCGGGCATTGGCACTGGCGATCTGACTCAAGAAATTTCGACGGGCTTCTCGGGAGAGCTGAAAGCATTCCATGAAGGTAAGCGTGGCTAGCACTTTCCCAGTACGATGGGAAGACGGGGGCAAAAGTCCCTTCCCTTGAAGACTGGTGTGTCCTGTGTGCAATAGAGAAGGGCGGGGGAAGCGAGGGGTGAGGGACCAGGCCATGCCCTCAGCGAGCAGTTGCCGCGGGCAGATCGTGGCGGGAAGAACAGTGTTGGACAAACCTGCCCTAGGTTCTCCACGTCCTCCTGATTGTCCTATGCTGGGCTCAGGTCCACCACTCTGCACGTGCCTTCTCCCTGCCCTCAGATTTGGCGATTCCTTGCGATAGGTTAGAAAAATAAATCTTTTCCAGCTAATTCGAAGCCTCCCACATGTGGCAAGGCGACAGGTAGGCCCTAGTCTGCTGACTCAATCATGTGTGCACACCAAGTGGCCAGTCTGGGTTTGGAGGTGCAGGAGAAAGACACTTAGGCATCGGAGGGGTTTTTACATATGGCCTTGTTTTTTCCTAAGTATAAATGAAGAATTCGGTGGCGTGACATTGAGTCCAAAAGAAGAACACAAACCCACGTGCGAAATGCAGCCCACCACTCCTCAGATTTACATCATTTAACACTCCCCCCGCCGGTGAGCGGAAAACCCTCAGTGGGGAGAGGGGAGCTCCTTCCGTTTTATATTGACCGGAACCTTAGTGTTTCCAACACCGGTTTGTGTTTAAAGAGAGAGTATTTGGTTTCCAAAACAGCAAGCAAATTTACTGATTAGCATTTTTCTCCCAATATTGCTAAATTTTTTTGGAAGTGGTGGCGACACAATTTTAAAAAGTTCTACCTTAGGGGGAACGGGGGAGACTCAGGGGAACCGGAACTCTCCTTTTCTAGCCCTGGCTAGAGAGGATGTGATGCCGTGGAAGGAGTTTTCCTGATTCTCCCAAGTGAATCTGAAGTTAAGGCTCAATTCATAGTCATGTTTAGGGGTGAAATGTCTGCCTCCTGAAGAACTGGCAGGTTTGGGGGGCAGGGAAGGGGGGCGGAAAACGATGATGGGCTGGAGACGGAAACGGCGGCTCACAGGGGGGAAGATCAGCTTTAGAAAAGTCAGGGCGGCCTTGTTGGACGGTAGAAGTCTGTCCACTAGCTCGCCTCCTAGACGTCACAGCTACCCTGGGGTTAAAATACTTCTGGTTGGGGTTTCCTCCTTCTGACATCACACTTCCAGGTAATGCTGGTTAGCCACTGGCAAGCTGAGCCTAGACAAAGATAGCCTTCGATGCTCTGGAAAAACCAACTACAAGACCCATTTAAAAAAAGCGAAAAAAAAAAAAAAAAAAAAAGCAGCCGTTCAGATGGCAGGGGCCTTTGAATTAGAAGAGGGAGGTGGGCAGGGAATCAACACAGGGATGAGACAGTTAGCTTGATTACAGATTATCAATACACGAGTCTACGCGGCGGGGGATGGAGGGGGTTCCTTTCTTTAGAACACTGTGCGCAGGGATGGCTGGGTGGCTGGGAGGTGCAGAGCCCGCAGGAGGGTCCCCCGGGCTGGAATGGCGCCCCAGGGAGGAGCAGGGGGGAGGCTACACGTGTGCGGGAGACACGGTCCCTCCTGGCGGGGAGGGAGGAGGGAGGGAGGAGCGTGGAGTCAGGCGGCCGCTTTGTGCCTGCCGCCGCAGCACCTGCACAGCACGCCGCAGTGGTAGCAGGCGCGCAGGGGCAGGTAGCAGCACATACAGGGCGCCAGGAAGGACAGCGCGACCAGGGCCATCCACCGGAGGCAGAACTTGTCGTCGCTGGTGTCGCAGGAGCAGGGGTCCGTGTAGTCGCCCTCGGGGTCCGACATGCAGTGGTAGAGCAGGCTGTCCGCGCACCACATGCAGCTCACGCGGCGGATGCAAGTCCTGGCGGCGTCGGGCGCGTCCTGGCAGCGGCCGCGCCGGTTGTCCTCGTGGCTGAACAGGTCCCTGCAGTACTCGCAGCGGGAGCGCTCGCCCTCCTCCGGCCGCCGCCGCGCCTTGCCCCGCGACGGCTGCGTCTTGATCACGCCGGCCCCGCGCCCCTTGGGGTCCTCGCCCAGGCCCAGGCCGCAGTCCGGGGCGCCCACGTAGGGGTAGGTGTAGTCGTGCTTGGGCGCCTCGCCCTTGGCGAAGCGCACGTAGGCGTCGGGGTCGTCGGCGGGGCCGGGCGCCTTGCCCCGCGCGGGCGCGTGCCGGTAGTCCTCGTAGCCCGTCACCCACACCCGCTCCCGCGGGTTGATGCGCACGATCTCCTCGTCGTCGTCCGGGAAGCTCACCTGGCGGTACGGCCTGGGCAGCGGCTGCCCCAGGGGAAGAGAGACGGCATTTTTCAGCAGTGGCAGAGAAAGAGGAAAAAAAAAAAAATCTAACATGTACTTTTCACCTTGACAAAGGCGTTTCTTTTAAGAAACTGACCCGTCCTGGAATGACTGGACATCACACGGGGAGTCTCAATCCATTCCTGGGTGGGGAATCCATTGAGTGGGCCGAGGACGGCTTTTATCCTCCTCCCTTTTTCTAATTTATTTTATAACTATCTATACTAATAAAGGGGCGATATGCTAATGAGACCAGGTAGACATCTTCCAGTCGTCCTGCCTGCCTTCTGGACAAAGCCACGGTGGCAGGGGCTAAGGCAGAGGCAGTTAGGGGTGATCAGGCTAGCAGGGGAGGGCAGTTGGGGGCGATCAGGCAGGCAGAAGCGTTTAGGGACAATCAGGCAGGCAGGTGAATGGTTAGGAGCCTGCAGTCCCGGATTGTGAGAGGGATCCCACATTGGGGAGGGTGCAGGCAGGGCTCAGGGACACCCCCCTCCTGTGCACGAATTTCATAGGAAAGGATGCCCACTGTAAGAATAGTTTGCATTTTCAGAAGCTGGACACACCCAGGTCAAGAAGCAGAAGGTGAGGGTGCCTGATTTCTGCCTGGTTTTGTACAGTATGTTCTCTGTTGTATGATCAACTTTTTAAATGTTTCCTTCAGTGAAATAGGCGAATACGGGAGTTACACAGCACGTTAGAAGGGTAAGTACTTTTCATCATCTATGCATATATACAATACGTGCGCTCTGGGTCACCCTATAAAATGCATTTCTCACTGTGTGTCGTGTTCAAAAAGAGCAAAAGGGGGCTACCGGGAACTACAAGAACCGTGGAATCAGGTTGGGAAGATACGATGCCCAGGTAACAAAAGGTTAAGAGCACAGGCTCCGGAGGCCGGCTGCCTGAGTTAGAATCCTGCCAGGATCACACAGATAGTGACAGAACTGGAACCTGTGACCCAGAGCCACACCCTCTAGCCCCAACCCCCCCCCCCCCCCCCCCCCCCCCCCGCATTCTGCCTTCGGGCCAAGAGTCCTCTCAGCAGGTAGCCAGTTTTCCACCTTAGAAGTCCGTGGGGCATGAAGGCTTTTTTTTTTTTTTTTTAAAGGGAAAAGAGCACGGTTCTGGGCAAACCCACTGGAGTCATATCCGGGCCGTGCAATTTCCTGGGAAGTGGCTGTGCCTGAGCCTCAGTTTCCCCCGACTGTCAGACTGCATGGGGCTGTTGTGAATCGAAAGAATCTCCTCGGTACTTGCACTGAGCCTGCCACACGGGATGTGCTCCATACCGGCTGCCACTGTCATTGTAATAGTTACAGCATTTTTACATGGCAGTTCGGTTCCCCCATCGCTTCCCAATGGACTGTGAGCAGGGCCGCCTCTCACACCCTTTGCCCTAATTCCCGTGACAATCTTGACATGAGAGCTTCCCGGGCTTCACAGAATCACAGTCCTGTAGGATTTCAAAACAAATCTGGGGAGCTGTTACAGGCTTTGCTAATTTTTTTTTATTTTGCAAAGCCAGGAGAGTCAAGAAGTCAGTTCTTATCTACTGCTACCATCATTTAAAAAAATTTTAATGCTAAACTATTGGGAAGCATACAACAGAAAGATTTCTTAAAGGAGTCACAGAAACCCAGCTTTACGTTCACTGTGCTCCTTTTTTTTCTCTTTTCAAAGCAGACCGGTGGCCACATCGCCCTCCACGGGCACCAGTCCCAGCCCCACAGTTTGGAAACCTGCTCTGCAAAACAGCCCCTTGGTAAATATTTGTTGAGTTATTGAATTCCAGGCTCCATTTCCCCGAGCAGGCCCGGGCCTGCCGCCCGAGCCACCAGGGCGAGAGCCAGGTGTGCGGCATCTTCAGGCCCGGCCGGGGCTTTGTGCGCCCACCCCGGGTCCGAGGCCTCCGCAGGGGGCGGCACGGCGCGGGGGTGAGCACAGACTTCCATTGGAATCTGTTCCCCGGGGGACTCCATCTCTCTGAGCCTCAGCTTCCTCATCTACAAAGCGGGGAGCCGAGGGCCTGCCTCGTGGGGCCATTTGCGAGGATTAAACGAGATCTACCGCGTTTCCCCGAAAATAAGACATCCTCCGAAAATAAGACCTAGCGCAACTTTGGGAGAAAAAAAATTAAGACACTGTCCTATTTTCGGGGAAACAGGGTAGTACGAGGGATCTGGCACACAGAAGCCTCTAAGCGAGGGTGAGCTGCCACCCCCGCCGGCGAGGTGGGGTGGGGCGGGACAAAGTTGGACGGAAGGGGCCTAGGCTCGGGGAGAGGAAGGAGCCCCCGCCCCGAGCACCTCAGAGGAGGGAGACAGCTGCTCACCTGTTCGAGGTGATAGTGGTCCGGGGGGTAGGGGTCGTGGAGGTGGCCCAGGGTGTAAATCCTCCGGTGCTCGCAGGACGTGGGGGAGGAGATTGTCCGGGTCGGTTGTTCCCTCTTCTGAGAGGAATTAGAAGAACTGTCTGTAGCTGTCTGTTTGGAGGGAGGTAACGGAGAGTTAACTGGGAAAAGCCGAACCCTCACACGCCGTCGACCCGCCTTGTGGCAGCCTGCTGGACTTCCCGAAGCCGTGCGTTTATCCTGGCCGCGGGAGGCGGGAGGCCCCCTGAAGGGCGAGGTTGTCTGAACACGATGTGGCCGCCAGACCCCGGGCGGTTGGGTTTGTTTTCTCGAAGGTAGGAGTAGCGGCCAGGCTTGGGGGCCGGGCTCACTACAGCAGGCCTCCCGCTGGGGCAGCCCGGTTTGGCCAAGGATGGTCGTCCCGTTTGTGGCGCTAGTTCCAAGGCACCCTGGCAAGCAGGGGAGGTGCAAACACACACACACACACACACACACACACACACACACACACAATCAAACCCCAATGTTTACACGTGTGGCTAACCCCAACCTGAGAAAGAGATAAGGATACCCTGGGGGATCATGGGTCCTGGCTTCCCAGAAATTTTGCAGGACGACATCTTTGGGGCCCACTTTAAACTGGCAGCAAGATGGACGACTGCAGAGTGAGGAGGGGCCCACAGAGCAGTCTCCCCAGCAGCCGCATCCAATCCAGCCCGGAGCCTCCCGATGGCGTCTTGGGAAGGTGAGCAGATGCTGGGATGGACTGTGGCCGGAGCACAGGCGGGCCCACTGCCTCCCCGATGTACCTACCACCTGGGTGCTTCCTGCTCCCACCCAAGACTCCGTGAAGGAGGCCAGGTGATGGCACCCTCCACAGCCACTCGCACCCCCCACATGCTTGTAAAAGCTGTTCCGTCTTTACAACCAGGGCACCCCACCTTCCACCCCCATGGGGTCGGGGACCCTTGCCCACCCCCACACAAAGGAAAAGGTTTTTCTTGTATCTGGGAACGTCTTCCTCTCCTTGGCTGTTGCTCTCAGCGTCCACTTTGTCTTTTTATTCTACATGTCTTTTGTCCGTGCCATCAATCCTTCTGGGGGCAAGGCAGGGCTTGAACAAATAGACGGGTGAGTTATTCCCACCCCTCTGCCCGTTTGTAAAGAAGTAAATGCTCAGAAAAGTGGGACTACAAGGTATTTAGGAAAAAGAAGACTCATTTCCGTTATGCAATGAACTGCTGTTAATTTTTAAAACTCGGTGGACACGTGCAGCTTCCCTACAGGGACCCAGTCTGCCTGGAGTTTTCCTATCGGTTTGGTCCGAGTGATGCGGAGCTGATGCCGGAGTCCGATCCCCCCACCCGCCGTGGCTCAGCCAGATGTGGACACATGGTCCCCTCCGGCCATCCAGAAAGATCTCTGACGGAGTTCAGAAAAGATGCTGGCTTTTTATCTCAGGTTAAGACCCAAGGGTCCCCTGAGCCTGGGATTGTGGTGAGGGCGCTGGGAAGGCACCTTCTGAGGATGAAGTGAAGCGAAACCTTAGAGAAGGCAACCCCCACGGACAACATCTGAGCTTTGGGGTCCAGTCCAGCCTGAATCCTGACACCCCCTTTGGTAACGGAAGCCAGCTGTGCTGGGCTCACCACACGGGCACACTTCTCCTCACTCCCCATCCCCGCTCTGAGGCGGCGGCTCCACCTGCGTCCCTCCCCTGGCCTCCCGGTGACCCCGGCTCCCCTCCACAGCGGCCGGGGTGACCTGGGCGCGCAGCCTGCCGCCTCCCTCCTCGGCCTCTTGCGTGCAGCCATTCCGGGGACTGAGGGGGCCCACGGTGGGAAGGCTGCAGACCCAGCACCCCCGAGACACCCGCTTCCTGCAGATGTCAGCCAAGACCACAAAGCCCCCCCCCCCCCTCCCCGCCAATTGGTTCAGAGAGGAAATAATTAGTAAATATCAGTAACGGGAAGAGAGCAGGCGGACGCACAAGAATCTCTTCCTTTCTTCCACGCTCTGCCTGCTGTCCAGCTCTCACCCACTTTGCTGCCGATCCGACAACAAAGCCCAGAACTCCCCGGTGATGAGAGTACGTATGTGCCATGTGCCAGGCAGGGGCACACGTGAACAATCGCAGGTAAAAGAGCGCCTCTACATCACACATAGGAAAACGAAGACTCAGAGAGGCAGGGACCTGCTGACCGGCTGTGGCTAACCCAGATGTGGACAGCCTGACTGTCGAGCCCCCTGGAGTTCAGCACCCCACACCCTGCTTCTCACACGCAGGTCAGCCATTCCAACGCCGCCTCTGAGAGGAACTGTGTGAACCTCAACAAAGGCCCACCTCACGTAAGAAGGGGCACCCTGCATGACAGAAAAAGCCAGCAAGTAAGGGGGTGTCAGGCACATGGCGTCTCACGATACAAAGGTTTCCAAAGATTTCACTAAGGACTTCCTGAGTAAGCAGATAAGGCCCTCAGCATGACTCACATCTCAAGGGTCACTTCCTTCTCCAACGCCCACATGACGGTCATCTCTCAGGCTAGAAGCTACCCGGGCGCTGACCACGGTAACATGCACTCAGCACCGACGTCTCAGAAACCGGCTAACTCATCGCGGTCACCTCTGAGTTAGTCAGCTGTGACCCTCATCCGCCCAGGGCCAGGTTCACAATGTGTAGGAAGTCATTCTGAGAAACGGGGCACACCCAGTTTTCCCGGTATTCCTGAGCCAATCAGAGATGCCCCCGCCTGACCTCCCTAGAACCAAGCAGCACCCCACCCCACCTCCTCAAGGTCAAGTGCAAAGCTTCCCAAACGCGAGGCTGAGGAAGGCCTTCCAAGGTCTCCTAACCTAGTGACGGGTTGGTGCAAAGGAGCAGGAAAGCCAGCCACCTTTGAGGTATGCCCACAGTTCACCGCTTCCCGAGGGCCGGGCTGAGGGTAGGGCCTGGCCCGGCCCACAGCCTTCCCTGCCAGCCTGCTCGGTGTGGGTTTGGACCCGGGAAAGGAGAGCCTGCTGGCGAGGCTCCATGGGAAGCAGAGGCCGTGCCGGATCTATATATCAGACAGATCTTGGAGCGGTGTGGCCTGCACACATGTCCCACCAGGGCATCTCCAGGAGCAGCGAGGGGAAATGCCTCCTGCCCACATGCCCTGCTGACCTAACTGCTCGCGGTTTCCCCTCACAGCAGGAGGACAGTGGCCTCCGCTCACATCCACAAGCAAGCTGCTAGGAGATGACCGATTCTTGGGTGCACAAGCTCCTGACCCCCACCCACCTGACGGTTTCTCCTTCCTTGTGGAAAGACTGCGTCTTAAACCCACCTCGCTCTCCCGAGGGCGTCTCTCGGCTGCTGCAGGTTTGAACTCCAGAAGCACAAAAGCAGAGGCCCTCAGCCCCCCGAAGAGAGGCAGCTGCAGCACCAGGCTCCCCGAGCCACTGCACCTGCACGCGCGTCCTCCACAGCAGCCTCTGAGTTTGACTCTGTCTCAGTGTCAGTGCCCGGGATGAAAACCATGTCCAGCTAAGAAGTTTGCGACTTAAAAAAAGGACCGGACGAAAGAAAGGCGGTGGAATATGATGATGTTCGAGACCAGGGTCTTAGCTCAGACAGACTGGATTTGAATCATTCTCTGCTACTGATAGGTCAAGGTGACGTCTAACTCCAGTTTTCAGATCTGCAGAAATGGAGCTGAAACTGTCCTCAAGAGTTATTAAAAAATGAAATGAGATGAAACATTTCCTTTTTTTTTTTTTTAAGCTGGTACTGCCGATTACAGAAAAGTTACTGATTCTGTTGGTCCGGTATCTGGTCACCTCGCTTAATTTCTTATAGAAGTTCACATAGTGACTTTGGGTTTTTCTCAGTAAATCATATTACCCACAAAAGATAGCCTGGTATCTTTACCAGTATTTATACCATATTTTTCTTATCTTACAATTTTTGCCAGGGCTTCCAGCATGATGTGGAAAAACAGAGGCAATTAGTGGCCCTGCTTGTCTTTTTAATTGATCATATATATATATATATATTGATTTCAGAGAGGGAGAGAAACATCAATGATGAGAATCATTGATCAGCTGCCTCCAGCATGCCCCCTACTGGGGATTGAGCCCTCAACCCTGGAATTGAACCTGGGACCCTTCAGTCTACAGGCCAATGCTCTATCCACTGAGCCAAACCGGCTAGGACACCCTGCTTACCTTTTTAAAAATAAATTTCCAGTGATCACTATAAAAACTCACATACTTTGAGTAATTAACAAGCTTGCGTGACCCTCTAACAGGGCAGTGAGCTGAGACAAGACCTTGATGAGGAGAACAGAGAAAGAACAGGAGAGTGAGAAGGGAAGGAGGCGGAAGTGAGAGTTCAGCATCCTGAGATGAAAGGGTGGGCACTGCTAACCTTAGAAACTGAGCCGAGTACCGACCAGCCTGACCAAATCCACTCTGAGAGCACCAATCCCATCCCTTCCCTGAAGGGTTTGGGTTTGGGCTGGGTGCTTGTGGGATGCGGGTTCACAGAAGGTGACATGGGCAAGGCCAGGGAGCTTCCTTGAGGAGGGACATCCTAGATGGGTACACAACCCAGACCTGGGCCCAGAGGAAGGAAAAAAGAGGCTCAAATTTATCAGTGAACATCGGGTAAACTTCTTTAAACACTGTAAGCTTCCAATGCCTGAGCTCTGCAGACGTAAGTTGTACTTAACTTTGAGAATTCAGAGAATCCCCCGGAATTTAATAAATAAGAGGAAAACCATGGGGCTTCAAAAGTTGATAGACTTTTCCTCTGAATAACGGACTTGAATGTTATGACATCTTGCCAGTAAGTCAAAGCCTGACGTACAAAAGACCCTGGGTGGAGACTGCCTTTCCTCAAGGTCAGTGCTACCGGTGTGGGAGGGAATTGGTCTGCATGGAGAAAGGGGCTCAGCAGATCCATGCCTACTGTTACAGCTGTGGCTGGCTCCCTCCTAGGTGAGGCGCATATTCTGTAAATAGGATTTCCCAAAACTGGTTTGGTTCAGTGGATAGAACATCGGTCCGAGGACTGGAAGGTTCCCGGTTCTATTCTGGTCAAGGGCATGTGCATTGGTTGCGGGCACATCCCCAGTGTGGGGTGTGCAAGA